CAAAGTTCGTCTTATTTGCGGTCAAATCGGAAGTGAAATTTGAACCTTAGGTCTTAAAACAAAGTAAAACGTTCAATATGATCTAGTATAAGCAAAAATAAATACTAAAGTTAAGGGAGTTAGTCACATTGTTAATAAAATGTTACATTATAAAACCCTAAACAACTTAAAAAAATATGTTTACTAAAAAATCTAAATTCTTGCAATATTTGTTATTTATTATACAATCGAATGCGGTTTTAAAGAATCCGAATCTCTAAGTTTTGGAGGTAAATACTCAGATAAAAAAAAGCGGCCGATAGGGGTTGCAAAAATAATCGATTAATCGGTTATTTTGTGAAAATCGATTTATCGGTTATACTTAATCGATTATTTTCGATTGATCGAATATTTTCAATTATTTTCGTTTTTTCTAAGATAATGGAATAATCGATTTTAAAGGAAATACAAAAAGAAAATAGATTAATCGAAAATAATAGGTTGATTGAAAATAATAGATTGATTAAAAATAATTGATAATTTCTTTATTTTTTTTAGAAAAATCGATTTTTCGTTTTATTTGATTATTTTCGTTTAATCGATTATTTTCGATTAATTGATTATTTTCGATTAATGGATTGTTTTAGATTTTTTAAAGGTATTCGAATAATTTATTTAAAAAAAAAATAGATTATTTTAAAATAACCGATTTACAATAATCGATAATTTGGTTATTTTTTAATCGATTTATCGGTTAATCGGCTTTCTCATAAATCGATTATTTTCGATTTTTCAAAGGTTATTGAATAATCGATTTCAAAGGAAAGGGGTCATCCATAAAGTACGTCACACGAATTTTATGATTTTTTGAGTCCTCCCCTGTCCTAGTCACAGCTGATCACATTTGTGAGACTCCCCCTTCCTAGTGTGACGTCATATAGTTTGCAAGTTTACATCTAGAAATTATTAAATTATAACAGCAGTTCCGAAATTAGTTTTACTTCCATTTAAATTATTTTTAATAAAATCAACATCAAATTAAACATTTGAAAATTAACAAAACAAAAAAACCATTATTTATATCATTGAAATATTCAAACTTATTCATCTTGAATCCATGGACTTTGAACCCACTCCTTTAAATTATTTACAACTTGCATAGTAGTCACCTTGTTCTCGATTGGGAACATTCGTTGAGTCTACATCTTTTTCATCCAACCAATGGCATCATTGTTATCCAAATAAAGAATTTCTCTGGCACGTCTAGCGCAAATCTTTGAGGATAAATCTTCGCGATGGGTAAAACTTCTTGTTGCCTCTTATGAGATTGTTTTTGTTGGTTAGTGGCCTTGTATGATGCAAAATATAGACCACAGATGCCACACGATTGCTTAAACAAGTATGCCTCGACACTGGGACAATATCTATCATACGGAACATACTTCAAATGTGATGATGCTCGGTGATCCAAAGATAGCTGAAGTAATAGTGGAGCAAATTTAGCTTCGGAGTCATCTTTTTATGTGGTTACATACCCGTTTGAGGTCTGTTTAACTAAAACAGGTGGTGGTAAAACTCCGCTCGTAATAGTCGCCAAAGGCTAGATCGTCGCACACCACAACAAGGGACAACCTCGTATTTTTACTATTTATAATAAATATTGTGATTCACGCACATGATTTGCATACCAAGTCGCATCATTTCGCATCATGCTCCATATCCAATCTAGTATTTGTTGGCACAATGTATTCGGCAACCACAGGAAAATGATCAATGACCAATTGGCTCCAAATATTAGCCAGCACAATGTCTGTACTCTCAAAGTTTCGTTTTTCTAACTCAGTCAGAATTCGATTACTGGAATCGAGATGTAAACCAAAATTGTCATGCTAGTAAGTTAGCGTCTAAGAGGCGCCATTCGTCGTTCCACTCTGTTGAAAGCATTTCTTCCTGGGGGCATTTGTGGCAATGTAAATAGCATCCAAGTCAAAAATTTTAATCTGTTATATAGCTGAAACTATAACTCGCTCGTATCGTGGATTGTCGTCGGGACCACCATCGCAAGTAAAAATAAATATGGGTTTTACAAAACCTTCTCGAGTTCTCATAAAGTTTTTGAAAGCAGGTGTTTCAGAAAGTCTATGTATGTGTGGCATGAGTCTCTGCATTAGAGAAAGAATGCTTTCCACTACGAATTGCTACGTATGTAGGCCCAGAGTGTGTCACAGCTTCAGGTTTCCCTTCATCATCTTTCTTTATTACAATACCTGCATAAACAGAAGGAATAAGTTTATGTTTTTCAGTGACCACGAAATCATGATCCGCTAATTTTACACGATAATCAAGGTGCATTAATATTGGTGCTTGGGCATTTGCTGCTGTGATACCTAAAGGCACGCGTGCTTTGTCATCCATTGATAAAAAGAAAACTTGATCAGGGCCCAAAATTGAAGCTAAAGCGTAGAATCTGGTTTGCATAGTTTAACAGGAACAGTTACAACGTGCTCTTTCCTTCCTCTGTATTGACTCGTCTGGGAAGAAGTCTGAAGTATAACCCTGATCGACTGATACTATATCCATGTTTACAAAGTTCGGCTTGTAAATCGTCCAATGTTTTTCAGCATCTTATAGTTTCAGTGCGACGTCTTCATCAGCAGCGCCACCAAAAAGTGCAATATCGTTTATGACTTCAAGTATATCGGATTGGTTTTCTTCTACTCTACGTCGACCAACAGTATCGCGAAGTTTTAGAGCTGATGCTAAGTCGACAAGTCACAAGTCACACACTTCATCGACCCCATCCCCCCTCTTAACGTGTGACGTAATTTATGGATGACCAAAAATACGAAAACAAAATAGATTATTTGAAAATAATCCATTATGTAAGATATTCGATAAATCGTTTATTAATTTTTTAAACACCGGTTTATCGGTTAATCGGTTTTTAATTAATCGATAATTTTCGATTTTTCAAAGATAATCGAATAATTGATTTTAAAGGAAATACGAAATACGATTATTAATTAATATTCCTAAAGAAATAAGCTTTAATATACCTTTTTCTGAGATTAACAGCATTTTCTCAATTTGACTAATTTTCAATATTAACATTTAAATGACTTGCAAGTCAGTGTACTACCTGGTAATTTTTTATATCAATGGATACAAAGAGAAATGAGTAGAATTTTCCATATCGACGGATACAACTAGAAATGAGTGGATCAGATAAAGAAGAATAGTGATGGATATACTGAAAATAATACGCCTAAAATGGGACTATGTAGCTAGAGGAATGGAGATGAAATGAAAAAATTACAGCTATTCTTTTGAGGTTTTGAAATGACACATATGATTTATTTTGTTTTCGCAAAGGATGTTGAAGGAAGAGAAAGTACTAGAATAATTTACTCCTTAATATTTCTCTGGTTTCAATAAAACAATATACTGCTTATAATAATCGTACAGATTGGTCAAGTATATTTGGAACCATTTTAAATGTGTGTATCTCAGAAAGTTTTTGAGATATCAATGTCCGATTTTCAATGGGCATCTTTCAAAATAATTATAATAATTTTGGATATGTCTCTTTTGTACTGCAACTTCCTGTTACACCGGAAATGAGTATGCTCTTTTTCAGATATAGGAGAAGCGTGTTATTTCATATGGACTGCTTTGTATATTTTTAGTTGCTCAAAAGGCTTAATCTTTTGAAATCTTTGGAAAAGGTAACAATTTCTATTTGAAATTATAGCTGTTCAAAATAATTGATATATCGATTTGTTTAAAGTAACTATTTATATGAAATAAAAATAAAACTTTAAAAGCGGACAAAAATATGTATATAAAAATAATTAGTTCAGCGAGTGTTCAAAGTGCTGACCATTTACAACATAGCTATTAAGTCTATTCTATATTTTATTCATTTTTTTTTTAACACAAACAGAGAAAAGGAAAGAAGATCTTAAATTCTTTTGAAATGGGTTAAAATATACTTGGTCTGTATTGTATAATGTTACAAATTACATTTAAACATAATGTGAAGATTGTGGAGGCATTAGATAACAATTCAGTATAGGTTACATTAAGAAAAAAATACCTGAAATGTATGCGATGTATAGTGGTTGAGCGATGAAAATCTTCAGTCATGATTTACTGTCTAACCCTCCTTTCACACGTGCCGGATACCGTACATACGACACTTGTATACGGCATCAAAGTACATACAGAACATTAACGCGTTCACACATACAGGGTTTTTGTCTGTGCCGGATAGACACCGGACATCTCGACCTTCATCCGGCACCGGACAACGGATATACATCAAGATCTATCAAAGTATATACAGCGTTCACATGTGTCTGGACAAAAGTCGTTCAGTTACTATGGAAACATGGAAAGTAGAGGTGCAACAGTAAAAATGTGACGTGTGGATATAAACATCGAAAAACTTAGTTCCTTAGTAAAAGTATACTGCCAACTCGACTCTAAGATTCAACGATATGTCGGATACGTCTGAAGACAAAAAAATGCCGGATATCAGGTATCGTATATCCGGTATCCGGCACGTGTGAAAAGAGCGTAAAGCTTATTTGTTTCGGGGATAGTGGCTACGTAACATTGTGCGTAGGTGCGCATTTTAAAATAAAACGTATTTTTTTTTTCAAATAAGACAACCATTTTTGGAAATCTTTTGATGATTTTGTATTTGAGAAACGTGTCGAGGAGTTGGAAAGCAGTGGTTGGGCAGGACGTAAGATCTTACAATTATGTAGGAAAATAAAGAGATACACGATTATGTGATTATAATTGTTGTGTTCGATTAAATATGCAAATTACGTGGATGATTCATATGAAGATATTCTGGGCGCTAGAATATTAAGGCGAAGACTAATTATTCTTCCTACAGAGAAAATACAACATTTTTCAAAAACAATTTTAAACTTGTACAGTTTGTGAATATAACAAATATGCCAGACATACAGACATGAGAGAGTAAATATATACAATAATATATTGCTTACCTTTTTCTTATAGAATCCGATTTAGGAGCCACAACATTATTTTCCTCATTCAAATTAATGACAAAATCAATGTGGTAACCATAAGGTGTAAGAACATTTTCTACAATGTTTCCACCAACAATTTCTACTAAATATTCCTGAATAGATCTCGGTAAGCTGTGTTCAACTGCATCTATTAGAAAATGGACATAAAAAACGTTATTTTCACAATAAAAAATTTATTTTTGATAGACAAAGTTTTCATATAGTCATTTAATATTTTGAAGTTACTAATATATAACTCAAAGTACCATACACAATTTTGTATTCAACGTATCTTTAAAAATATATATAAAAATATAATTTGTTTGATTTTTTAAATAAACAGCTTATTTGTTTGAGTTTGTTACATGTGAAATCTCTAATACTAGATGTACATGTACAGATTATTATACTATAAGAGCTAGGGTCATTTAGATTTTTAGAATAACGTGTTGAATACAAGGTTGAACATTTGTAGATTTATAATTTAACTAGCTGTTGCCCGCGTTGCACGAATGGTGTCGTGTTTTAAATACACAGAAATGAGTAATCTAATATTTAAGCATAGTAGTATAATATTTAGGTATAGAAATCTAATATTTAAGTATCGAAACCAGTTATACTTCTGCTCGGTCATATACAGGATGAGCAGTTTTTAAAAGTCGGCAGATTTCGACTAAAATTGGTATCTGAGAATTTTAGAAGCCATATCCTAAATATTTTTGTTTTAAATTTAAAATGGCGCTGAAAGGAATCGTATTTAATCAAAAAAGGGCTCCCTTGAATGGAAATAATAAAAACTGTCCTTTTGGTTTGTGTAACTGGATCATTTTAAAAGCAGCGCATTATTATTGTTCAATAACGGTGATCGTGGCGAAGTGATAATTCGGGTGGGATTAAGAGGAAGATCGATGGAGAGAGAAATGTAAAAAAGGATTTTTTGGTTTGGTGGTTTTAATTTTAAATCATTATAATTTAAGCGCTTAGGAGTTCCCTGTTTTTTCAAATTTCTATATCGAAGGAAGTTCTAGGTAAAATACTTTACACCGATTTTTTTAATTTTTTTTTTAACAATTTCAAAAAGAAGTTTTCTGAATCAATGGTATTTCACGGTACATCTGAACTATTTTAAAAATTTGGTACTACCTTAGACTAGGTGAATAAAAGAGAGTACTAGTAACGCCGAAGGAAATCGTGTTTCATTATGACGCCAATGCTATTCGACCAGAGGCGTAACATGTTGGAAATAAAACAATGAACGTTTATTTATGATTATTAGTACTTTATTGATATATTTGGGTATAAAGCTAGTTCAAAGCGTAAAAATAAAATTAAATGAGTAACAATAAATAGGACACAAGAACAAATATATATATTAGGAAAAAAAGTTATTCTTGATAAAAAGTCCTGCATGACCCAAAACCTAAAATACAGTCATCACATATCAAATTTTTCAAGCCGTATACGAGGTTTGTCAAAAAATATGAATTTTGCTCAAGAGTAAAGTACGTTTATTTTTGACAAAATCGAAAATTTTCATTAAGAAAAGTTGATTAGAATTGAATATTACATTCAAATATGCAATTAGACCGATCTATCTGAAAAAACAGATTTTCTTATTTTTTATAAACTCTACACTCTACACATTGATTGTAAATATCTGAAAACGTTATAAATTACGTTAGCTACTATAAACATGATACGCTTTCCTTTTGTTGATGTTTGTGAAGAATTTAGCAAATTTCTTAATGAAAATTTTCGATTTTGTAAAAAAATAAACGTACTTTACTATTGAGCAAAATTCATATTTTTTGACAAACCTCGTATACGGCTTGAAAAATTTTATATCTGATGACTGTATTTTAAGTTTTGGGTCATGCAGGACTTTTTATCAAGAATAACTTTTTTTTCTAAAATCAATAATAAAAATGTTTTCCATATGGTTCCAACTTAAGTAGACACACTGTATATATATATATATATATATATATATATATATATATATATATAGGGTGCGCCACGCTCAATGGGGCGGGGCCTGGTGGGAATTGCAAACGATATTAAAAACATTCAACTCAATGGCGGCTACAAATTACAATTAGTTTCACATATACAGGGTGTCCCTAACAAAAATACCAATATAAAGTTACATTTTTTAAATGGGACACTCGATATTTTCTTTTAAATATAATTTCAACTTAAAAATATTCTTAGTTTAACAAAGATTTCCTATACCTACCTTCCGATTCATTTGACTTTTTTTTTTTGAAAATGTGCTGTCGAAATTAATTAATTAATTACTCTTGATTACAAAATAAATAATTAACGGATTTTTGGCAGTTCCTTAAAATATGTTGAAACTTTTAATCTGAAGCATTAAAATATTCAAAAAATTTACGGGGATGTTTGCAATTTGAAGTTTTTTTACAGTAAAATGTATTATTTAATTAATGCGTTAATTTAAATGGAACACCCAGTATTTTGTGACAACAATATGAAGGACATTTTATTTACTTTAAAAGTTCTATAAGGTTCCCTCTACACATATCTACTATTTTTACTTTCCTATCTGTATACAGATAAGGAAAGTATAGGAATCATGATTTTTTCTACCTCCAGTTTTCGACGTTTTGGGGTCCCCTGAATCCGTTTTGACTATTTTCGGGATGATGTCGTGTGTGTGTGTGTGTGTGTGTGTGTGTGTGTGTGTGTGTGTGTGTGTGTGTGTGTGTGTGTGTGTGTGTGTGTGTGTGTGTGTGTGTGTGTGTGTGTGTGTGTGTGTGTGTGTGTGTGTGTGTGTGTGTGTGTGTGTGTGTGTGTGTGTGTGTGTGTGTGTGTGTGTGTGTGTGTGTGTGTGTGTGTGTGTGTGTGTGTGTGTGTGTGTGTGTGTGTGTGTGTGTGTGTGTGTGTGTGTGTGTGTGTGTGTGTGTGTGTGTGTGTGTGTGTGTGTGTGTGTGTGTGTGTGTGTGTGTGTGTGTGTGTGTGTGTGTGTGTGTGTGTGTGTGTGTGTGTGTGTGTGTGTGTGTGTGTGTGTGTGTGTGTGTGTGTGTGTGTGTGTGTGTGTGTGTGTGTGTGTGTGTGTGTGTGTGTGTGTGTGTGTGTGTGTGTGTGTGTGTGTGTGTGTGTGTGTGTGTGTGTGTGTGTGTGTGTGTGTGTGTGTGTGTGTGTGTGTGTGTGTGTGTGTGTGTGTGTGTGTGTGTGTGTGTGTGTGTGTGTGTGTGTGTGTGTGTGTGTGTGTGTGTGTGTGTGTGTGTGTGTGTGTGTGTGTGTGTGTGTGTGTGTGTGTGTGTGTGTGTGTGTGTGTGTGTGTGTGTGTGTGTGTGTGTGTGTGTGTGTGTGTGTGTGTGTGTGTGTGTGTGTGTGTGTGTGTGTGTGTGTGTGTGTGTGTGTGTGTGTGTGTGTGTGTGTGTGTGTGTGTGTGTGTGTGTGTGTGTGTGTGTGTGTGTGTGTGTGTGTGTGTGTGTGTGTGTGTGTGTGTGTGTGTGTGTGTGTGTGTGTGTGTGTGTGTGTGTGTGTGTGTGTGTGTGTGTGTGTGTGTGTGTGTGTGTGTGTGTGTGTGTGTGTGTGTGTGTGTGTGTGTGTGTGTGTGTGTGTGTGTGTGTGTGTGTGTGTGTGTGTGTGTGTGTGTGTGTGTGTGTGTGTGTGTGTGTGTGTGTGTGTGTGTGTGTGTGTGTGTGTGTGTGTGTGTGTGTGTGTGTGTGTGTGTGTGTGTGTGTGTGTGTGTGTGTGTGTGTGTGTGTGTGTGTGTGTGTGTGTGTGTGTGTGTGTGTGTGTGTGTGTGTGTGTGTGTGTGTGTGTGTGTGTGTGTGTGTGTGTGTGTGTGTGTGTGTGTGTGTGTGTGTGTGTGTGTGTGTGTGTGTGTGTGTGTGTGTGTGTGTGTGTGTGTGTGTGTGTGTGTGTGTGTGTGTGTGTGTGTGTGTGTGTGTGTGTGTGTGTGTGTGTGTGTGTGTGTGTGTGTGTGTGTGTGTGTGTGTGTGTGTGTGTGTGTGTGTGTGTGTGTGTGTGTGTGTGTGTGTGTGTGTGTGTGTGTGTGTGTGTGTGTGTGTGTGTGTGTGTGTGTGTGTGTGTGTGTGTGTGTGTGTGTGTGTGTGTGTGTGTGTGTGTGTGTGTGTGTGTGTGTGTGTGTGTGTGTGTGTGTGTGTGTGTGTGTGTGTGTGTGTGTGTGTGTGTGTGTGTGTGTGTGTGTGTGTGTGTGTGTGTGTGTGTGTGTGTGTGTGTGTGTGTGTGTGTGTGTGTGTGTGTGTGTGTGTGTGTGTGTGTGTGTGTGTGTGTGTGTGTGTGTGTGTGTGTGTGTGTGTGTGTGTGTGTGTGTGTGTGTGTGTGTGTGTGTGTGTGTGTGTGTGTGTGTGTGTGTGTGTGTGTGTGTGTGTGTGTGGTGTGTGTGTGTGTGTGTGTGTGTGTGTGTGTGTGTGGGTGCGTTTGTGTGTGTGTGTGGGTGCGTTTGTGAGTGTGGGTGCGTTTGTGAGTGTGTGGGTGCGTTTGTGAGTGTGTGGGTGCGTTTGTGAGTGTGTGGGTGCGTTTGTGAGTGTGTGGGTGCGTTTGTGAGTGTGTGGGTGCGTTTGTGAGTGTGTGGGTGCGTTTGTGAGTGTGTGGGTGCGTTTGTGAGTGTGTGGGTGCGTTTGTGAGTGTGTGGGTGCGTTTGTGAGTGTGTGGGTGCGTTTGTGAGTGTGTGGGTGCGTTTGTGAGTGTGTGGGTGCGTTTGTGAGTGTGTGGGTGCGTTTGTGAGTGTGTGGGTGCGTTTGTGAGTGTGTGGGTGCGTTTGTGAGTGTGTGGGTGCGTTTGTGAGTGTGTGGGTGCGTTTGTGAGTGTGTGGGTGCGTTTGTGAGTGTGTGGGTGCGTTTGTGAGTGTGTGGGTGCGTTTGTGAGTGTGTGGGTGCGTTTGTGAGTGTGTGGGTGCGTTTGTGAGTGTGTGGGTGCGTTTGTGAGTGTGTGGGTGCGTTTGTGAGTGTGTGGGTGCGTTTGTGAGTGTGTGGGTGCGTTTGTGAGTGTGTGGGTGCGTTTGTGAGTGTGTGGGTGCGTTTGTGAGTGTGTGGGTGCGTTTGTGAGTGTGTGGGTGCGTTTGTGAGTGTGTGGGTGCGTTTGTGAGTGTGTGGGTGCGTTTGTGAGTGTGTGGGTGCGTTTGTGAGTGTGTGGGTGCGTTTGTGAGTGTGG